CAAGGTTTTGCCAGAGTTTCGCCATTTTGCCATAGTTTCGCCGTTTCACCGGAGTTTTGCCAGTTTTGACTTTTGCCAGATTTAGTTTCAACTTTTGCCATTTGCCAAAAATAGTTTTGCCTAACAGCAGTACTTTCAGTATAAAAGTTACCATTCTTACCACGTGCCGGAGCACAGGCTGAAAGCTAGGTATCAAATATAGTAAAGGTATTCAGGCTAAATTATGGTGAGACGTGTAATAATTGTGGCAGATTAAAATGAAATATGTCTTATTTCAATTTGAAATTTATGCAATGTATTAAAATTTTTATAGTATATTTTTTTTAGGCTTTTTGTTTAGTGCTTGGTTAGGATTTAGGAGCAGTATTTTTAATAAGAAGTGTAGGTTGATTTTTCGAAGCTTAAAAATTTCATTAATTTGATTTCATTATGATTTACGACAGTGATTAAATAGAGGTATAGTGTTTGATAGAGTTAAAGATCAATATTGTTGTCAAATCTTTATTAATCATGTTAACTTTGTTTGGATCTTATTTGGTACAGCTGGGTGAACTTTGGTATAGGTGGGCACCTTTGATCATTTATATGTACACGTAATCATAATAGAGTGAGCTCACCTATACCAAAATTCAACCTGTAAAAAGTGAAAATCTTCAAATACAAAAGAACCGGAAAAAAACCTATAATAAAACAAAAAAATCGAAATTTCTCTAGCAATCCTGGCCAAAGTTACGATAATAAAAAAATGACAACACTTTGCTTAAAGAACATCTACTCTACATAAATACACCGCATCAATACGGAATAAGAAACATTATAAACCGGGAAGAACTGTCTGCACAGGGGCAACAGTGCATGCACTGTTGAATGTACCGCATTTCCAGCCGGTTGTCAGGTCATGAAGACTGAGGCAAATGAAACTGTAAATCGATATAGCAAAAATTAATTCAGAGATTCTTTTTGTTTTGATTAAATTATCAATATTATATCAATATTATATCAATGTTAAGATAAATACCAGAATTCTTGATCACAAGGGCATTTCATATGTTTGCATTTGCTGTCATGTTCGATAATTGTGCCACATTTAGGGCATGCGCGGCACGATGGTACACCAGATACGTTACCTACTTTCTAAAACCACAATATTAAAAATTAATAGAGTTAATTAATATTTATGTTAAATTATAACATATGAAAAATAAAGCATCAGACAAGATATCTTACCTTTGTGTTCGCGTTTTTAAGAATGGCTAAACGAGGATCGACACCTCCACAGAGATCGTTTGTACAACGATAACTATTAAAACTATAAACTTCGTGCAAGCAGTACCAACAGAATGCGTATTCTCTAATGCCTGGCTTTCTTGAGCATATCAAACAGACAACCGATGATCGATCCTTATCACTTCTCTCACAGAATGTAGAGCACTACCAATGGCACATAGAATTAACAAAAGCTGAAAACTCGAAAAGAGAAATTTTCATCACACCTGAGGACATTCTTGAACACCAAGGGCGCGACGAGAATAATTTTCACTAATCTTGGTTTCAAAATATTTGCACTCTTCATCAGTAAGTAAACCTATCTTGCGGATATCAATATATTGCCATTCTGTACGGCAACGAACGTCGTTTGTCGCTTAATATATTTAACAAATGGTAAGAAATCATTTTTAGCTACATTATAGCATTACCAGTTGACTTCAGACACAGATATGTGAGTACTCACGGTTGGTATACGGACAAAAAAATTGAAATTTGCCTTCGCTAACAAGTGATCTGCAAAAGGCAGTAAGTGACTCGGGACCAATAGCATGGCCACACGGCATCTGAAAAAAGGTAACCGAAATTAAATATTATTTGCCAAGTTGGTTTAAAGATAACTATTACCTTTGCACGTAAGTTGTCTGGATCGTCCTCCCAACTATAGATAAGAAGACCACTTAGATTGACCGGAGTGAAATAAATAAGCAACTTGAATACTTACGTAATCATGTCGGGCTCGTTGGTTAGTTCGACGCCATCATTGGGGTCATGAACTTTTGCATTCGCGCCACCCGGGAGTCTGAAATACGAAATTGATATTTAGTGAGTTATCGGAGAAGATATAATAAATTCATTGACTGTAAACATGATATAGATATCATTATTTCACAATTTCCGATGACATATTAAATCATTTCCTACCTAAGGACCAAATGAAGAGTAGAAGCCCTTGTAATTCCATAGAATTCGGCAGTTTTTTCATCTTCGAGTTGTTTTCCGGCAAAAATAAGGCGTTGTTGCTCAGTACTTACACCAGTCTTATCATAAACCTTTTTCTTAATATCTTTTACTCTGAAAATATCAAAGGAAAAAATGTTAATACCAGTTTTAACTGTTATAATTCCTAGTTTCACGTATTATCTTTACTTAGTTGATGGCGTGATTCCATTATACGTGGTCGTTTTTCCTTCGATACCATTAACGAATATTTGAAAAGGATCGGCGCTCATTTTCAATTCAGAATGGAGTGCTGTTTAGCAGGACCAGAATTATAAGTAGATAAATACTGGGAGAGTTTAAGTGAAATTTGATGTGGTCGGATATTTCTCAAATTACTCCATTTGGTGTTTGATTATTTGTTTTTGTTTTTCACTGTATGTTTGTTTGCATGCAGTATTTTAATTTTTCTAAATTTCATTCATTACCCGGAGCGTGACGGAGGATATTTAAGTTATGCAACAAAATAGCCCTAGAATCGCCACAAAAAAAAAAAAAAAAAAAAGTTGTACGCCATAGTTAAAGCTCCAAAGCACAATGATGATAAACTGTACATGGCAATGTTAATTCGTTATGGCAAAAAAAAAAGCTTCGTTATTGGTTCTGAGTTTTAATTATGACGTAAAATACATTTTTTTTGGTAAGCGATGCTAGGTGTATTTATGCAACAAAAATTGTTTATTTTATTGATAGCGTCTCCATGTCTGATGATGACACTGGGAGAAAAAAATGATTGTTTATATTATGAATTATTAATAAAATAAGTTTTTTTGCAGCTTTTTGTGTTTTTTCTAAATAAATATAAATTAAAACAGGTAAATATTGTAAATATTGTAAATATTGACGCAAGTCGCACTACATGTGAAAGATTTGCTCAAATGCGCAAAAAGTAATAATCGGTTTTTATTAATTCTTTTTGAGAAGAATATAGAATCAAAAGACGAGGAGCATTGCTACAATAGCTGGCAGTATAAGTACGATGTTAATGTTTTAAAAGATGAAAAGAAAACCTTCATACACTGTCAAAATCTGCCAATGTTAATGACAGAAGTTAAGAAGGAGCAGCACAAGGCATTCAAGCATGATTTGAAATCCGCAAAGGTTTGCAACCCCAATGGAATCCAAAAAACAGCAAAATTTACAATACGGAATAGGAGTAGAAAAAATTATATATCTGCATATAAAAATACTGTAGATTCTATTAAACTTTATTACTCATTATTATACAACAAATGTTGGGGTAAAGCATGTGATCCTGAATAATTATTCAAGGATAGACGAGCGGAGATAAAGACATTAATGATTAATTGAAAACCTTCAACATAGAACTACCGAATATAAAGATACTGTATGATTGAATGGATCCCATTTGATAGATTACATATCATTGGCAAATGAGATTGAAACGATTTAATTAGGTGGTATACGAAAGATTGAAATAATTGTAGAAGAGCTCGTGAACTATCCAACACTGTTGTGCACAAAATTTTGAGAAAAGTAAATTAAATCGTTGCTTACTAAATACACTGAACTAATTGGTGTTAGAAATTTATAATTTTGACCGACTTATTTGCTATGTATGAATATGCTGTGTAATATATTAACATCCTCCTAGTATGTACGTACGTACGTACGCACGTATAAATTATCTTTTTCACATTTCTTACTTTCACATGTTTCTTATTATTATGTTTTTTTTACTTTCCGCATTTGTATCGCCATAGTCATGTTAATATTACCTTAGTTGTATTGGGATTACTATGCATTATTGATAGCTTAACGCATGTAACCATGTACGTAAGTACATGCTACAAAGTTCACGTATACACCACAATCTTCGCGTAAATGCAATTATACCGGCGTCAGATTTTAGTGTAAACGTTATGATCTTAGTGTTGACATTATGAGAAATTAAATGTATATGAATGTATGTCATCACCCTTAATTAAAGGAGAATATACGCCCTCCGAGTTTATTTCTAAAATAAGATCACCCAAATTCGGGTCTAGTAGGAAATCTCGACATCCAAATGACATCACGCAGCATGACAATTAATATTTAAAGATTAGTAATCAAATTTTTAATTATCACATCGCGTGATGTCAGTATTATGGCCTGTCGATTTTTTTGGATGTCGGGGTTTCTTACTAGACCCATAAATTTACGTCTTCTCCCAATAATAAATGCCTAATAATCATAAAGATACGGGCTCTATACAGTTTAAGTACTTTGTCTGACGTAAACCTTCGGAGCTAAACGAATAGCTACAATATGCGTTTAAATATAAAATCCAAATCAACATTGAGATAATATGAGAGATTCATTTTTTCTTTTTGATGGTTACTTATCTAGATTTATGAATATATTCCTTCGTTTTTTTTTTTTATTTTTTTATCTTTATTTGTCGAATTTTTTACAAAATAAATGAATCGACAATTATCGATTTGTCCAATAAAATCGTAGCGAAAAAATCCAATAATTATAAATGTAAAGCTGAGATTTAAAATAGGCGAGTAAAGTGGGGTAGAGATCTGTGCAAAAACATTGTTGAAAATCCAAAAAAACCAATCAATTTTGTTTATAACTTATGCATTGACAGTTCAATTCCAAACTATTCCTAGGTCAGGGATGTGGAAACCTTCCGATTTATTGTGACCTTAAAGAATATATATTCAGAGGATTTATTCTTAGAAACACCGTATATAACGCAAGATCACCATATCTCTGCATTATACGTATATTGACTATATCATTGTTACCAAATTTGATTAAGATATTCCTTAGTAATCGTCTTTTTGCTGTATATATACTAGCACGTATGAAATCTGGGGCAGGTTTGCGAAAGATAAGAATTTAGCGTAGGATATATTTACGATACAATCGGTTCTCTAAGTGTCTCAAGCTATATGAGATTATAGTACTGTAGAAACATATAGTCTCTAAATGCAGGTCCTCTTTAAGTGCAGGATTTCTTAAGAAAATTTTCTTGCACTTAAAGATAGTCGACTAATTTAGAAGTTAATCTGCAGTTGGCGTAACGGTAATACGTAAAATCGATTTTTTCTGGTTTTTTTTGTTCGAATTTAGGTTGCTCATGATCTTGACTTTTTTTATTTGATATCTAATCTGGAACTATTACACAAGCCGACCAAAAAGTGGATTGCATATGGCCTATTTAACGTTAACATTAAAAAAAAATACAAAAATACGTTCGTACATACGTACGTACGTACGTACGTAGCTAGCTAATTTTTGATCAGCCCGCATAACGTTTTTTAGTCAGGTCGTATGATTTTGATTTTTTAACTGTTAATTGAAACTATACGCATAAATAAACTTTTAATTTTATGTGATGACATTAGATCTAACAAATCAAATTATTAAAATTTTATCTACTATATTTTGCGGAATAAAGTACTCTTCGTGCCAAATATTGTAGAAATTCTTGCGTAATTTTTAATTTTTTATGTATAAAAAAATTTTGATGCATGAAATTTTTTCTAATTGCCGATTCCCGACAAAAAACTGTAAACTGTTAAATTCCGTTACTTCATAAGTTACCCAACTCTACTTTTTATAAAAAATTATTATCATGCACCGTACAGTGCTGACTAACAGTACCTGGGATACTATTCCAGAAACCATCAAATTCCTTGAATAGTACCCACCAGACTAATTACAGAGGAGGGTACTATAAGAGATTGTTCGTTACATAATTTCAATATTAGTTTAATAGAGTTTAATAGAGTTTAATAGAGTTTAATAGAGTTTAATAGAGTTTAATAGAGTTTAATAGAGTTTAATAGAGTTTAA